AGCGGGCGGGGGGAGCCACTGACGGCTACTCTCTGGGGAGGGTTCTCCAGCCAGCTGATCCGGTAAGCAAGCGAGCTGCCCTCGGTAGCAGTTGCAATCTAGCATAAGAGAAAGCCACGAACTAGCGAACCCCCTCTTCTCCTCCCTTCCGATCCACATGGAGTTTGATGAAACACGAACCTACAAAACCAGAATAGGGGCCAATTTGAATTTAAAACAGAAAGTGGGGAGACATGGGCTGGTATGTGTAAAGCCATGGTAGAAACGGAGGCTCCAAAGAACAGTAATAAAAAATCCCGAACTTTGCAATGAATGGCTCGGAGATGGCTAAACAGCCTGGCTCTCTGCTTGCCTCCCCGGTACAGGAAAACATCAGAGAACTAGAGGAGGTAACACAGTCAATAGGCCACTGGAAGCACAAGCAGCCCAGACGCATGATCTGCTTGAACGATTAAAAGAGGAAACGCAGAGATTTGGAGACAGCTGGTGAAACTTTGCAAAAGAAGAAGGTGCCGTCCCCTGCTACTAAACACAAAACATCTAGTGCTTTCACAGTGCCTGAAGGAGGGGGACAGAAATCAAACAAGGTGGCCCTGGCACAATTGAAAGATGAGCCGGGTTCTGGTCCAACAAAGACCTAGACTGGTGCCTGTCAGAACGAGACAAGTCAGTGTCTGGGAGGGTCTGTCCAGACTGTCCAAGGATCGGTAAATCAAATGAAGGAGAAAATTGACAGTTTCACAGAGTATACGAGGAGACAGAAGCTGCAATGTGATCCCAGGGGAGAGCATGAAAAAGCATCTGAATTTGGAAAGCGAAGACTGAGCAGGTGAACATGTAGAATTGATGTATTAACACAGGGAGGTGCCCCAAACCAGTTAACTGCAGCATGTAAGGGCGCTCCTGCAAGCTGTTTGAGATGTGGACAAAACCAACAGACAGCGGGGGACCATATCGAGTTTTTACAAGAGCAGGTAACTACCCTCACTCTCCTCACAGAGCCAGGATAAAATCTCCGGGTGCAAATTCCCAACTGTTTAGACCCACCAAACCGCCCTCCATGCTCAACTAAAAACACACCCTTCTTTTCTTGTATAGTCTGTCTCCATTTACTGAATTTCCTGCTGCTGCCTGTGGCTTAAGACAGCTTTGAAAGTTTCTCGCTCTTTGCTCCAGTTTCACCAGCATCCTTAATTGCTCATCACCTTCCTTCCCCCACCTCTTCTCACTTTGACTCTCTGTGTTAAGAGTTAAAAGTTACAGGTTTTACAGAAACCTCAAAAATTGAAAGCCATTGAAAACAAAACAGAGATTTTGTTTCTTTGAGAAAGATTTTAAAAACATAACAACTTTAAATGAATGGAGTAATTATTTTAACCCTTCCGGAATGCAACAGCTAGGATGACTCCTAACTTTAGTGAAGATATGGTTGTTAAGCAACAGACATGCACACTCTTAACTGACTAATATTTGAAACATGAGCTTTTCTTCTTTCAATAGAGCAGCAATGATAACAAAGTTTAATATAAAGTTATGAAAAATGCTTAAAGTTACTAAATTAGCAGAACAAATTTGGCATAGTTTAGTATAAATCTGTATCATTTTGATGAAAACGTTTAAATAAAGCAAAAAGGTGCTCACTTAAATGTTTATTCGATTTTTTATTTTGTATAGTTATGAATAGACTTCGGGCACCATCTGGGTTTAGTTGTAAGTTCTGTGTCACGTGGCTATTTTTTAAATTACAAAAGTCAATTTATAGTTTTTTGTAAAGTGGTACCACGCTATTTTATTATCATGTTTGGGGTATAATTATATGAACACCGATTTTTTGTTTGTTTTTTGTTTTACAAAGATGGATAGAAAGAGGCGGAGGGCTGGGTGGCAGCGGGTGGCTGGCTCATCTTGTGCCAGGTACAGGGTCTGCTGGCTGGGTGCTGGCAGGCTTGCAACTGGCATAAGCACCGTAGCCAGACCGTGCCCCTGTAAGGGCTCCGGGGCCGGGAGGGGGGCAGACGAGTTTCCCTGGTGGTGCCCAGAGTGGCCACCAGGGCAACCTGGGGAGGGCTAGCCTCCCACTAGTTCGAATTAAGTGGCTACACAGCCCTTAATTCGAACTACTTAATTCGAACTAGGCGTTAGTCCTTGTGGAATGAGGTTTACCTAGTTCCAATTAAGCGCTCTGCTAGTTCGAATTAAATTCGAACTAGTGGTCTGTATGTATAGCCGCTATGAAAGTTAATTCAAACTAACGGCTGTTAGTTCGAATTAACTTTGTAGTGTAGACATACCCTTACACCGTAGCTACAAAATGTGTAAACACATTCTCTAATTCTCTGTTAGTACCAGTCAGTATCTGGGTCAGTGACATTGCATCCGAACCAAGACACGTGTCTTTCAAAACAATCTCGTTTAGTGTCTGGATACCTGTGCTAAATCCTGAGACAGCAATATTTGATATATTGATTACTGTCCATTCCATAGCTTATCGGAAAGGCAACGTCCATTAGAAACAGCTTGATCTATGTCTACTCCCCATGTGTCACAGAGCCGGAGAAAAGCGGCTTATTCCTACTTTCAAGTAAGAAATCCTCTGGAAAAGGGCTTATTTTCCGGAGAATCGCGTCTAGACTGGCGCTTTTCTCCGGCTTATCCCTGAGCCGGAAAAAAGCGGCAGCCATGTAAATGCAAATGCCACGGGGGATATTTAAATCCCCCGCGGATTTGCAATTCCGACTTGTCACATTAGCATCCCTTTTACGGAAAGGGATGCCAATGTAGACGTAGCCTTATATATCAAGGCTCATTTGTAATGTCCCTGTTCCACATTTGTGTTACTTCTTATACACATAATCTCGTGGGACACACTGTCACAAGGCCTGTCTCTGGATTCCGAAATACTCAGCCCCCTACCGATAACGATACAGAGAAGAACTGTCATTGCTACCACAAGGGCCAAATCACAATACCTGACTGGAAAACAGACTGTTCTAAGGTTGTGCCATATCTACACAATGTGTATCGTGTGCCCCCACAGTCTGCTGTGGAGACGGAGTGCACACAGCACGGAGCACACACGCAAGCAGCCTTCTGGTCATCATCACCGACAGAGCTAGAGACATGTCCAGACGTTGCGACAGTGACTCCTGGCCCCTGCGCACTAAGAGCGTTGCTGGACAGCAGCCTGGAGAGCTACACTCAGCAGGTAGGAGCTGGTGGATGCTTGTCCATGGGAAACACTCTGTATGGCGCTGAAACTGCAGGGCGGAGGGCTTGGAATTGGTTCTGGTCAGCTGAGACGTCAGGTCTGGGAGCTTTCCCCAAAGCAGTGCCCAGGGCTGCAAACTTCTCCCCCAGCAGTGCCCAGGGCTGGGAGCTCCCCTCCAGGCTGTCTCCCCCTGCTGCTGGAGAGCTGAGCCCCACCCCAATGTGTCTGACACCAGGGCCTGCTACCGACCAGACAGGGGGATGGGATGGGATTTGTTACATGAAATACCCCCCAGGTTTGTAACGTTCCTGCAGGCTGGGACCCCACAGCCCCACGGTAGCACCGATGCCCCGTCCCATCCCACTGTGGGAGCCAGAACTGGGGGCTGAATCTGACCTGCTTTGGTCCCAGGAGCTCAGTGACTGGCTGCATCTCACCCCCTGCATGGAGCAGACCCCCGGCCCTGGGCCCAGCAAACAGCATCAGCCTGGGGGGGCTCACCTGTTACTGCTCTGGGGATGTTTTGGCTTCTCTCCGATACGAACTCTCTCCCATTCACACTGCGCCAGTATTCACAGCTGTACACGCCTGCGTTCGACATGGCCACACTCGACAGCTGGATGGAGGCCGTAGAGCCGTTGCGGATTGACGGGATTTCCTGGGGTTGATTTTTCTCTCCACCCCTGTAGAAACAGATCCCAGCCAGGCTGGGCACCCCGGCAGCTGAGCACGTCAGGGTCATGGCTTCCCCTGCCATGTAGACAGGCTGTGGCGGGGACACGGTGAGCTGGGCGGCTGGAAGAGACAAGGGGGTTGGGGGAGGAGACGGTTCCTACGTGGGTGGCTGGTGACAGAGGCAGAGGAGGAGCCAGGGGAGGGCAGAGCAGGGCGGGATCCTGGGCACAGACCCCAGCCAGCCCGAGCTCCGTGCCCAGGAACCACGTCCCCACCGGGCCAGGCAACCCCTGAGCAGCAGAGATCTCCCTGTGGGACCCAGTGGGACCAGGCTCCCCTGCTGGGTAAATGAGGGGGTAGCTCAGCCAGCATTGACTGGGGGGGCTTGTGCAGCTGAAAGTGGAGGCACAGACCAGGCTGCCCTGCAGTAAGTGCAGGTGCCAGTGACGGGCCTCACAGCCCTGGGTGGCCCTGGGGAGCATCACACACCCCAGCTGGGATCGGCCCCATTGACCCCAATGGAGCTACGGCCCATTAACCCAGCTGGGATCGGCCCCATTGACCCCAATGGAGCTACGGCCCATTAACCCAGCTGGGATCGGCCCCATTGACCCCAATGGAGCTACGGCCCATTAACCCAGCTGGGATCGGCCCCATTGACCCCAATGGAGCTACGGCCCATTAACCCAGCTGGGATCGGCCCCATTGACCCCAGTGAAGCTACGGCCCATTGACCCAGCTGGGATCGGCCCCATTGACCCCAGTGAAGCTATGGCCCATTGACCCAGCTGGGGACATGGCCCCATGGAGGCCCATGGGGCTGTGGCTCATGTACCTCCTGGCTCTCCCTGCAGGCTCCTTGGTGGCCCTTGGAGACTCTTGTGACCTGAGCGTGTCTCTCATTCTCGTCAGGGACTCTGAGCCCAGCCCTGGCCCAGCAGCTGCATGGTGGTGGGGGGGGTAAAGGGAGGGGGGAGTTTCACACTCACGTTGGAGGCTCTGCCGGACACAAGGAGCTTTGCACAGATGGGGAGTGCTGGGATGGGGGGGTCAAATCCCCAGACCCTGACCCCGTGTGACTGGCACTGGCCCCGCACTGGCACTGAGAGGGTTAACAGGGCTGTGGGGCTTGTGGTAGCAGAACCGTACATGTTAGTGACCCTGGGGGCAGCCATGCATGGCAGGGAACAGGCTCTGTGGGACGGGCCCAGGGGACTCAGGACTCTGGGATAGAGCTGGGGCCAGAGAGGGGCTGGGAAGCAGAGGTCAGTTAGGGTATGTCTGGCGACAGAGGCATGTAGATTAGGCTACCTGGCATAGGGAAATGAAGCGGCCATTTAAATAATCGCCGCTGCATTTAAATTTAAACGGCTGCCGCACTGAGCCCATCAGCTGTTTGTCGGCTCAGCGCGCTAGTCTGGACGCTCCGCAGTCGACATCAAAGGCATGAGTCAACCTCCCGGGTAAACTTCGCCCCACGAGGCATGCCAAGCACAGCTTGCACACGGCAGGGTGGACGTTTTCTTGCGCAAGACATAGCCTGAGTGTTTAAGATGCTGGGAATGGCTGGACTAAGGATGGGGATGGGGCTGTGGTATTGGGAGGGGTTTGGATTCCCAGGGACTTGCCTGTCCAAGAGCAGGAAAAGGGCTCACCTGCTATGGAGATGGGGACGGAGCTGCTGTTCTCAGAGATTCGTTGATTGGATCCCTGTGTCGAGTACGCACAGGTGTAGGTCCCAGCACGTCCCTTCTCAGCCATGAACTCCAGCAGGGAACTTGAATGAGACTGTAAGACAGTGCTGGGGCCCTGGTGCCCTTTTCCGTAGAAGAATCTGCATTCTGAAGACTTCCCTTCCTTAGGAACTTTGCACCAGAGTTTAACCCTCTCCCCTGGGAGATACACTGTGTACGGATGGTCCGGAGTTAAACTGGGGGCTGGTAGGAGACCTAGGACAGAGGCAGAGGGTCAGGTAAAGGGAGAGGACCAGAGTCCCCCACCCAGCCAGTTCCAGCCAGTGGGAACAGAGGACGGATGAGAGGAACTCAGGCGTCCAGCTTACCTGGGACCAAACAGGGGAGGAGAGATGGGGCAGATGTTATAGGGTGACCGGCTGTCAGCAGGGGGCTCGTGGGGCGGGGAGAGAGCAGGCAGAGCCCACCTGGAGGCAGCAGGAGCAAAATGTGCTGGGTCTGCCTGCCCTGAGGCCCCGGGGAGTTTCCTGTGCTGGGCTCAGCTGAGTCCCGTCTGTCTAGAGAGCCGGGCTGCATGGTGTGACGGCGCCCATGGCAGAGACAGGCAGGCACGAGGCTCAGAGAGGTGCAGGGGCCACACCCTTGAGACGGAGGGAGCCCCTGGAAAGGGGTCTCGCACACCGAGCCGGGCCCAGCTGGGGAAGGACGGGCTGGGGAGCAGGACGGGAGGCAGCCCAGCGGGGATGGAGCTGTGGGGAGAGGATCTCCTGTCTCGCTCTGGCCGCTGGAGGCTGGAGGGGAGGTCTGGAGAGACGCAGCCCAGAGAGGGGCTGGGGAAGGGCCATCCAGGCCGAGAGCCGACCTGCTGCAGGCACTGAGCAGAAATGAGGAAGCTCGGGCGGATGAGGGAAGGGTGTGAGAGTTTTTCTACCCATCACGTTTCCTCTGGGATCTCTGCAGAACCTGCTTTTCCTGCCCTGCTGGGCAGTGCTGGGTTTGTGCCCAGGGACTGAGCCCTCAGTGGGAGCCCAGAGCTGGGGCAGAGAGCGGCCGAGAGCCGACCTGCTGCAGGCACTGAGCAGAAATGAGGAAGCTCGGGCGGATGAGGGAAGGGTGTGAGAGTTTTTCTACCCATCACGTTTCCTCTGGGATCTCTGCAGAACCTGCTTTTCCTGCCCTGCTGGGCAGTGCTGGGTTTGTGCCCAGGGACTGAGCCCTCAGTGGGAGCCCAGAGCTGGGGCAGAGAGACCCCCCACACACACACACACAGCCCCACAGCAATGGGCCCTGCCCAGGGGCACCTGGGACTCTTACCTCCCCATGACACTGTCTCCATGGCCAGCCCAGTTCTCACTGCC